TTAACAACTTTTTATATTTGAACACTTTAAAATATTTAAATATAAAATTGAGTATTACATAATATGAGTATTACCTTGCAGTATTCAATTAAAAATCCAACTTCTTGAGTATGTGAAAAAATAGGCAACTGTAATTTGACACAAATTTCATTAAGATTATCATGATTATCAGTTATAACATTCATTGCATCATAGAATGAGTTCCACCTAAAAACCAAAACATATGTATTACTCTGCACACAACAGTAGTGTATTACAATATTAGATTAGAAACAAATTTATAATTTTACCTAGTTGCGTTAGGAACAATAAGATAACGACCAAGAATCTCTTTTACKMGTATTTGATCTGCGCATTGTGTGGACTGGTTCTGTTTATTAAACAACGCTTGACACTTGGAAAAAACACGTCTACTAATTCATTTATAARTTGCATCATTCAGAGCTTCTACACTATCTACTGTAGCAACAAGATTAAGAGTATGAGCAGCACATCGTTGGTGTGGAGGTAGAGTCAAATTTTCCAAACTATTCATGTTCATGTCAACATCTAATACATCAGAAATTTCAATGCTTGTGACAATTTCTTCTTCATTTACATTCAAATCGTTATCATCATTTCCATTAAAAATTCTAAATAAAAAATATTTGAATGGTTACGAAATTTCAATAACCAATGTATTATTATTATAATATATAAAGGGTGATTCACCAAGCAATTCTTCAATAATGCTGTTATTCAAAAAAATAGAGGTGAGCATGCTTAGTGAATCACCCTCTATGTTGAGTATTTTATTATTATTCATTAATCATTATACATACTTAAAGGCTTTCACAAAATTAGCAGCATTATCAGTGACGATAAGTGTGGTCTTGTTTTGCAAATTGAATTCATTTAGAATTTTATCCAGGAGTTCAGCTATGTTTTCAAATGTATGTCTGCCAAACATACGTMTACATGCAAGAGCTTTACTGCACCTTTCGAGGTTTATTGGGTCAAGCCAGTGCACAGTCACACCCATATATGCCCTTTATTTGAAGTGACAAAAAATTCAATAGAACAATTAAAAAACAATTCATTTAAGAATACATGTATAAAAAACAGCACTCACATTAGTATATTACATACATAGTGATATATCTATTACAAAAAATAAAAATACTACTTATTGAATAAATATATTATTATAATTAATGAATGAGACATRCCTATGAAAAACTGACCAACAATCCGCCGTTAAACAAACATGTGCAATGTTATTGAATTCTGCTTTCATTTCTTTAATTAAACCCTCAAATAGCTTCTCCACATCCCTCATCAATGATCTTCG